GTTTCCGAGTGTTCACCCTAAGGTGAATTTTAGGGTGAATAAACAGAATAATTATTTGTAAACCAATTTTGATGATTATTCTTTTTTATAAAATAGGTTCAGGTATCGGGAATAGTTTTATTTGAACTTTGAGAAAAAAATTATCCCTAAGGTTGGAAAAATAGGGAATGGAGTTTTTGCACATATTTAGACGACATTCGTTCTTGCGATATCGCATATACGGAAAATTCGTTATTCCACACAAAACGGTAATAAAAAATAGCGTTTAAAAACCGACCAAGTGCGAGTCGGACGCGCATATGAAGGGTTCCGTACCATTGTACAAGATTTAATACTATGTCTGTAAAAAAACACTTTTGTAGTAGGGGAGCCCCTTTAATTTTTAGTTTATTTTTATTATTTGTTGTTATAGCGGCAACGGAAATACACATTGTGTAAAAACTTCAAGTACCTACTTGTTACGGATCATGAGATACAGTCCGCGGACAGACAGACGGACGGACAGCGGAGGCTTAGCAATAGGGCCCCGTTGGTTGCCCTTCGGGTACGGAATCTTAAAAAGTAAAAACTGACTTCAAAAAACTAAAATCAATAACAAAATTTTACATTATGAAATCGGTCTCTTAATTATTTTATACACCATGCCGTAGCATCTTATTAACTATATAAATTATTTTAATCGTTTATTACGTTTTTTAACCGAAATAAACTTTTTGTATTTTATTGGATTTCTATCAGTACGGCAATTTGAGAATGAAAGCCAATACGTTTTTAGCAATAATTATAAATATCATAGACATTGAGCATACTTACAAAATCATAAATGAGATGTTTTGAAGTTAAAAAAATCTCTGAACTCTTGGGTATAATTAGGTAAATTGATGTAATTACTATATTAAACTAGCTTTATTGATGTTATCTACATTACCGCGGTGCCTAATAAAGTCATTTTTTTAGCTTTGTTTAACCCGGATTTGAGAACTTAAATTTAATTGTTTATCATTTGTTTATATTTGTGTTCCGTATGTAATAAAGTCCGATAGAAATTAGTGAATATTATCGTATTTTGCACTGATAATCAAAGAGGTTCCTCTTTGATTACGTTACACGGATACAAAAAGTATAAATTTATAAAATATGTACGTTAAAAAGAAAGGGAAAAGTACCGAATTAAAGGGTCTTCTTAAAAAAGTAATTAACGCGAATTTAATATGAGCTTCAATCTATTCGTCAACCGAGGGACATCATTTTCTGTAGGTATATTTGATGCAAGATGCAACAAATGTACGCACAATTTTTTGTTGATTCAAATGTACGAGAACACAATCCACCTATACACTTTCAACTATTTTATGTTATCATTATCATTATTACACTATTTACATATTTTATGAGATTGTAATAACTAGTAACTATGTTTCCTTTTATAAATTCAACAATATTTTTTTCCTTTATGAAGAGCTTAGCGCTCCTTTGTTATAAGAATATAAAATATTTTGCATCGGTGCGCTTGATTTATTTATTCTTATTAAAATTGTTGCAATCAGGTGTACGATACCAAATCCATTAAAACATCCAATCCATGAATTGCGATATTCTTCAGTAAACGTATCTTTTGATTCAATCAATGAAGATGATTTCGATCTAGTAAAGTGACAGGTACTTACAGCTTTGATATATATAAATGATTGATCCTTTTGTAGCTTTTCCATTAACACCAGTCAGTTATAAATAATTGCATAAGATTGTAATCATTCGAAGTTTTAAAATGATTTGATTTAAAAAAAAGCATTAAGACTTTTAATAAATTGTTATAAGTTGAAAATGATTAAAGGATTAAAATAGAATTTACCGCTGAATTGGAAGACGTTTTCAAGCTACTGAGCTGGAAATGGTACGGTATTAATAGCAATGGCGAACATATCACTCGCCTTCGATTTCCCGACGATATAATCCTTATGGCAAAATCGCAGGAGGACGGATAGGTCTTAAAATAAAAATAGACAAAACAAAGGTCAACGGTGTAACGTCCATGTCATGTTTCGTTATAGTTGTTGGGAGCACTACGATTGTAGTTGGCGACGAGTATGTTTACCTTGGAGAAATAGGTTTACTTATCAAATATATACGACACTCGGGAGATTACATCACATCTTCTCGTCAGGCATACCTCAAATCTTGAAAACAAGATTATGGCATTGATGACATATGGATCTTAGACGTGATCTTTCACTGATGGCTGTAAGAGGTCACTCAGTGAGCTATGGACAGGGCTATGCTCGGGGTTTCTCTGCGTGATAAACTTAAAAATAAGGATATCCACAGTAGAACTGAAGAGTAACCAACATAGCCCAACGGATTAGTAAGCTTAAGTGGCAATTGGCCGGCCATATAGCTCGAAGAACCGACAACCGATGGGGGAGAAAGGCTCTCGAGTCGGCAGTTCGGTAGCTTGGTACCGGTAGGCGAAGTGTAGGGCGACCACGCACTAGATAGATTGATGACCTAGTCAAATTTGTAGGAAGGTGACGGATGCCGGTAGCTTAAGACCATGCTTTGTGGGATTTATTTGGGGAGGATGTGCAGCAGGGGACTTGTAAAGGGCTGTAATGGCGATGATGATCATGTTAGCTTTTTTTCGGTTTTTACTTTTGATTACAATTTTATTTTTTTAATCCTTTTGAGTAGTCTGAGGAAACACATGCGTTTTAGGTTACAGATAATAAGTCGCTAAATAAACAGCCGTTTTTGAAAAAGCGGTAAACACACCAAAAAAATATACGCCTCGAATTTTTTCTCCGCCTCCGAGCCTCCGCATTTTTTTGAACTATGTTAATAAAATTTAATGACTTAGACGTATTCTTTTATTTCGATTTTAGCGTTATTTTGAGTTTAAACGGCTACTTTAATTGCGCTTCAAAGCTCATTTAAAAATTTGAATATAATTCGGTTAATAGTAGTCGGTTGTTAGAAAGGATGTGTGGGAGCGTCTCGTTTTTATGATAAGTCATACAAAAAGTAATAATTCTATGCAACTCTACTTATAAATGGATTTATTAGATCTCACACTGACAGTAGTAAAATCAAGAACAACAACGAATACAACGAGTACAGTCGTATTTAAATACGAAGTAGCAAAGGTATGTTGCTAAATATTTTGTGTAGAATATAAATGATTTGTAATAAATTTATAGCACAGTGATAATCAATGGTAAATCTTAACGATAACGGGAATATAACGATTCCTTAAGTTATTTTGGACACATCGAACACGAAGCGGAGATAAAAAGTGCTCTGTTCTTTTTTATAGGAGAGGGGGCAAACGAGCATGCGGCTCACCTGATGGTAAGTGACTACCGCCGCCCATGAACAACTGCAACACCAGGGGAATTGCAGATGCGTTCCAGGCCTTTTAAAAAGCAGTAGGCTCTTTTCTTGAAGGTCCCTAAGTCTTATCGGTACGGAAAAATCGCTGGAGGTAAGCAATTCCACAGGGAAGTTGTGCGAGGCAGAAATATCTTCTAAACCGCACAGTGGTGGACTGCCAATTATCCAGATCTAGTATGGATGGTATCGCTAGTTTTGTCGCGATGTGCGATGGTGAAATTGATCGGCTGGAATTAATCCGTACAATTCCTCAGTGAACTCCCTGTAGTACATGCGATAAAATACGCAAAGAAATGCAACATCTCTACGCAGTGCCAGTGAGTCAAGCCGATCGGAAAGAACTCGGTCGTCGACGATTCGAACCGCTCTGCGCTGGATGCGGTCAAGTGGAAGTAGCTGGCACTGGGGAGCCCCTGCCCAGAGATGGGAACAGTATTTCATTTGAGGCCGAACCTGCGCCTTGTAAAGTTGCAGGCGGTGTGCCGGCATGAAATACTGTCCCGCTTTGCTGAGCACACCAAGCTTTTTAGAGACCAATTTGGCCTTCTCTTTTAAGTGACCACGAAACTGCACGTCACTCGATATGTCGACGCCGAGGATTCCGATACTGGCTAAGGCAACAAGGGGAGTGCCTTGAAATTGAGGAGACACGACAAAGGGGTTCCTTTTAGCGGTAAACGCGCAAGCTTGTCACATATTCAAAAAATCGCGATCCATTCAACTTAAATCACTTCCACCAGCTTTGTATTGCACTTATATATTAAGAAAAAGTACACCAATAGCAAGATGAGATTTCAATTAATACTTCTGACGTAGTTATAAGGTTATTTATTTGTATATAGTTATAAGGTTATTTTAAGTTAATTAAAAATAATTTCACTTAGACGTTAGTTGGTCGGTATGGATTTGAACAAGATATCTTTCGAAAAACTGAACTTATCACTCTGAGTTTTTTTTTATTAGCTTTTTTTATTTTAATCCTTAGGAAGCCTTTTGAATTTCACTATTGTATTCAAAACATTACATGAGCGTTCGACGTGTGCACTTATGGATTTAGCAAATTATTTAAAAATTTTAATGCGCTATCAGTTTGAAATGTGTTATAATATAATATTTTGTATACTAGTTTTATCACTTTTGAAAACACTTGTTCAATTCAAACTAATTTTTTTTAAATAATATGTCACATAGTATTATCAAAAATATGATATAATAATTACTGCTAATGAATTATAATGAACGCTTTGTACTCATGTAACCTGATAAAAAATGCTAGAGCAAAAATATTATGAATAAAATATTTTTTCTAAAATATTATAATATTAAAAAAAATATCGCATAGTCTTACTCCCCGCTATATAGTGTCAAGAACACTGGCTGCGTTTCTTCGCTGAATAGCCTTTGAGAACAGAACCAGTCCTCTTGTCCCTATTATTGAAACGATCATGCGGCTTACCTAATGGTGACTACCGCCACACATGAACAACTGCAACACCAGGGGAACCAGAGGAATCACAGATTCGTTGCCGGCCTTTTAAAAAGGAGTAGTACTAATAAATAAAAACTTATTATAGATTATAATAGATATGAATTTTTTAATGTTTTTATTTCAGATGTTACGATTAGTTGCTTGCATGTCAATGTTTTATTCCATAGCCATTAGCCAAACTCTACCATACAATAGAGTAACTCAAGCACAATATGCTGCAGCAGCGGTAGTTCCAGCTACGTCTATATATTCTAACGCTCCAGGTCGCAATCCTCTGTTGGGTGGTTATAATTATCCATATTACAACCCTACTGCGAATCCGGTTCCTATTGTGTCCTATTCCAATAATCGAGGTAAAGATGGAAGTTATTCTTACAGGTAAAAGATTTTTATATAACTTTCTAAATCAAATCGAAATATTATATTTAGTGATGTAATTGTAGGCTCATTATTAAAATAAGAAATAAATTCATAACTCTGTAACAATTATCATTAATCGAGTAAAATCGAAATTGACCAGAATTAGGGATTTCTTATGTTGTTCAAATGTATAATTTTAACATCGTATCTATTTGGTATAGAGTTCGGTCGGTTAGCTCGTTTAGGGAAAACCCACGTTCCAAGCAACCCACATTCGTATAGGTAAGCTATGAGAACCGGAGACCCTTTTTACTAGAAACAGGGCCTTCTAGCTTAGGCTATGCAAATATTTTGTTTCTTACTGCATGAGTAATGAGATATAATTTCAGCTACGCGTCAGCTGATGGAAAGCAGGCACAAGAAAGTGGATTTTTGAAAGATGCTTACGTAGATACCGCCGGAAATCCACAGGGTACTCAGGTGATACCTCTTTTTCGTTAATATCTATTTAACAAATGAAACATTTCAAGTCACAGTAAGTACCTTAATTTAAAAAGAATGATGATGTTCTCCAAGCCGATTGAGTCTATGAGCACTTGTGAATACTGTCCGAAGCCATCAAATGTGTAGAAGCGTCACAAATGTACGAGCTATCACAGAGGAACATTCTTCGTAACCTTACCCAGTACGATGCACGATTATTCCAGTAAAGTAAAAGGCAAATACATCAGAGTATGATTGAGACCACCAAATCAGACTCGAAAACCAATAATTTGAGTTTTTGCACAAATGTAGGACTGAGTTTTCAAATTTATCTTTATAAGAAATAATAATAATATAAAAATAGGAGGATATCTGTGGAAGAATAAAAATAGCTGACATAGCCCAGCGATCAGTAAGCTGACCGGCAATGAGCCGGCCATATATCTAGAAGAACTGGCAACTGATGGAGAAAAAAGGTTCTCGAGTGACAGCTTCGTACTGGCAAGCACAGTGTTGGGCAATTCCCACAACACGGATTGACGACCTACAGAAATACGTAGGTAGTCTATGCATGCAGGTGGCTCAGAACAGTACTTTGTGGCAATGGGGAAGGCCTATGTTCAGCGGTGGATTTTAGACGGATTATAATGATGGTATCACTGCGACATCAAAATAAATGTGTGCCGTGTTGTGGCGGTATGTAAGACAATCCAGAATAAAAATCTCATGGCCTCTGATAGAAACGGTATTCACCCGCTATTATGCCCGTAAAAAGCTCAAACGCGTAACAGGATGTAGCCGTAAAGTTCATTTAGTACTTTAGACGAGCAGTGAAAAAAATACAAAATTAACGTGTAATAAAAATTAATCAACAGGATATATTCCAGGTTGTAAAAGGAAGTTACGCTTACATCTCACCAGAGGGTACACCGATCCAAGTCAGCTACGTTGCCGATGAGTATGGTAAGATTATTACATAAAATTTCTAACTATTTTGATGATAGGATAGAAAATAGTGGTGATTATTTAAGCTTTAAGTATTGTTACGCTAAATATTATAACAACCATTAAATTCTCTAAAGAAGAAAGAAGAAGACTGAAGGTGTCTCTAATAAAGAAGACTAAAGACGTCTCCGAGATTGATAATATAAGGTGTCTTAAAAATCAATTTCTTAATTCACTCACAACTAAAGTGGTATTAAAAATCGTCTTATTATATACTAAATATATGATAAAGTTAATTTTATTTTGGAAGTGCTACGAAAGATACAAACAACAACAAACAACACTAAATGAGTCAACTACATCGCTTCTTACTTCAGCTACATGAGTCAATTACAATCCCATCACATTTATTCTTGTGGTGCTGACATTATCTTTTTATTTATAAGGAACATTTAAGAAAAGGTGACTAAATTAGATTTACACAAAAAAGGCTAACACCGCTCTTTTCTCTCTCTCATAATACAGTAACACGGTGTAGGTAAAAGATATTTTTTATGATATACAAATGGTTTGAAATTTGTACGACTTACAAGGAAATGTATGGTTAAATGTGCACTATCATATACGTATGACATAAAAAGACGCGATATTTGTTTCTTTAATTTTAAACAACTTTATAATAATAATAATCATTTATTTCGGACCATGATCCATGTGGGTTATTAAGTAATTTATAAATTAAAATATGTAAGTCACAAAATTAACAAATTATAACTAAATTCATTCATATACCTCTCCCCACATCCCATTGCATAAGACCCGCAGCAGTGTATACGTGTTCAGTGCTGCAGGAAGGGGCAGTCTGGTTTCTCCGAAATTTCTCTCAGGATGCTGTTGGTGCTCTCCCGAAGCCTGCGCATCAGGGATGCTGTTATTTTTCGCAGAATAGCTTGTAAGCTGTTTGTTAACGCTTCAGCAAACATTCGTGGCGCACTACACAATCGTGGAAGCACCAACAGCACCCTAAATGCATTATTATATAGCACTGGCAAAACTACTACGACTACGACTTAAGAACCTTCAAGAAAAGAGCTTACTCCTTTTTAAAAAGCCGGCAACGCACCTGCATTTCCCTTGGTGTTGCAGTTGTTCATGGGCGGCGGTAGTCACTTATCATCAGGTGAGCCGTATGCTCGTTTGCCCTCTCTCCTATAAAAAAAAAAACAAAAAGAACATTGTAGGTCTGCTGCGTATGTCTAACCCACAGGCTGCATGATGTGTAGAATGATTGGCAAAAGAACTTAAAAAGAGTCAGTTTTGTCCTTGAACCGTCCTCTTTATATTTTCTTTATACCGATAGATTAGATTTTATATCTCGTCTTGTAACTTTATAACAACTAATAAATAGCCTAAAAGTAACCTACAAGTAAATTTGACAAGGAATTCAAACAAAATGTAAAACCTTATGAAAGAGGTAGTAAAACGTTTACAATAACTTATACTTATTATAGATAAGTTCAATCCTCTTAGATAATTCGATACGAAGTTGCGTCTTCAGAATGGACCAGGATCACAAATATAGAAATAGAAACTTTTTTATTCAATATAGATTATAAATATTACTTATTCAATCTTATGTTTAATTTACTACTGGTTCGGAAAATACCTCTGTCTTAGGAAGAACCAGCAAAAAACTCAGCGGGACTTTTTTTTTGGAAAAAAAAGAACAGTTTACAATAACTAAAGTTACGCAATAATTAACAACACGAAAGAAATTAGAAATAGCATGTTAGTGATCGCCTCATTCGCAGGGGTAATTATCATCCATAAATTCCTTAATATTTTAATAATCTTTTTATACAATTAAAAAAAATTAAGCATGTGAAGTCGAGTTACTGATACTACTAGCTTGCGGCTGTTTCTAGTATTTACAGAGTGAATTCACTTATTTTAATAAAACTACTTAAGTTTATGTGTACTCAATACACATTACGTACTACGTAATGTATTTTCGTAAATGTGTTGAGAGGCCAAGTTCATATATTAATTTCCTTAAATTTTTGTCTTAAAGATGTGGTTTTAAAATATATATTGCTCTAATGGCCCTCTTCTGCAAAACATACATAATTTCAGTGCCAGTCGCGTGTCCCCATAGCACAGATTACTAAATAGTTTACTAAAGTAAACCCATAGCAAATTACCATACGCCATAATGCTATGGAAATAGCTAAAATAAATAAGTCCAGCAACACTGGTAAGATTTCTAATATGTTTACAGTTTACGCTGTAGAACTAAGTCTGTACGCTAGTTTTGCTATATGGGGGCTCTTCTGAATATAGAAATTAATAATTTAAAATTAAAAATTTTGTACAGCCGACATCAATATAGGTTATTAAGAATAACCCAAAAACTATTGGTCTGACCTTGATCAAATTCACATGGGACCACACGAGAAGTACCAGCTATCAAATAAAAAAAGAATCATCGAAATCGGTTCACCCAGTAAAAAGTAATGAGGTAACACAGAGAAAAAAAAACATACAGTCGAATTGAGTACCGTCTCCTTTTTGGAAGTCGGCAGAAAATACTTCATCATTATCATTACAGCCCTTCACAAGTCCACTGCTGAACATAGGCCTCCCCCTAAGAATGCCACAAAGCAGCCTCCTGCATCCATCGACTTCCTGCATATCTTACCAGGTCGTCAGTCCATTTAGTGGGGGGACGCCCTACACTTCGCCTGCCGGTACGAGGCTGCCACTCGAGAACCTTTCTTGAAAATACTTGTGACCGATAAATTGTTAATCTTTGATAGATCAAAAAAAAAATTAAAGGCTATTAAAAGTCCATTGCTGAACTGACTGATTTTGCTATAGTTATCACGCTCAGCAGGCGGGTTGGCAACCGACTTATTATTATTTAATTATTATATACTAGCTGTGCCCCGCGGTTTCACCCGCGTCATCACGTGTCCGACGTGCGCGACATTATCTCTTAAACTATGCGTCCAAATAACATGGTATAAAGAACAAAGTTTATTTTCATAAAATTGTCTTGATGATAAAGCAACTTTCGTTCGTAAGGATAAATTGGCCATGCCTAATAATAACGCTCATAAATCACTTTTAAATTTTCAATATTTTTTGTCACAAAATACCAAATTATGGCTTATGTATAAGAAATAGACATATGGTATCGCGGACTTTTTTTAGAGGGAGTAAAGGTCTATATTTTTCTACAACATTGTATTTACGTATGCCTAACGATAACACCAGCGTACACGGATAAATCATTTCGGGAGTGCTTTTTCTTCTGACTTGCTTAACAAATATCCCAATTTAAGGCTAGCTGAGTAATATAGTTTAAAGCTAGATAGCCTATACTATTCCACATAAATCTGGCTATAATATACAAAAATATTTTTTTAAATCGGACTGGTAGTTCCAGAGATTAGCGCGTTTAAACAAACAAAAATACAAAAAAAAGTCTTCCGCTTTATTATATTATTAAATAGTATAGATTATGTATGTACAAAAACAGATAACTCCTTTTATTTTTACAGGGTTTAGATCCTCTGGCGTGCACATACCAGCTGATGGAAAGGACGTATTGCCTACGGTAATTCTTGGTATTAAAGATGGAAAACCATTAAATGATCCTTTTAATAACAAATATATCCCTTTTAACTACGGAAACAGATACAATGACTATCGATCATACAATTATAGACCTTATGATTCCCGATATCTATACGATAACACAAAATATTCCTTGAATTATTTTTACTAACCATTCGGATATGAAGGAAAACAAGTATTGGAGACGCCGAAAGTCACAGCATGAACATAAATAATAACAAGTTATTCACTTTACATTAGCAAACTTCTTTGTAATATTTGGCAAAATAAATAATATTAAAGCGCATACATCCATTTTTTTTTTAATATCAATGTTTTCGAAAAATTAATGAACTAATAACGACGATGAAATGACATTTTGGGAGGTTGTTGTTGTTGTTGGAGGTGAGGTAACAAGACGTTTCATCATCATCATCATTATAGCCCTTCACAAGTCTACTGCTGAAAATAGGCCTCCCCAAGGAATGCAACAAAGCACGGTCCTGAGCCACCTTCATCTATCGACTTCCTGCATGTCTTACCAGGTCGTCACTCCTGGGGGAACGCCCTACACTTCGTCCGCCGGTACGAGGCCGCCACTCGAGAAACTTTTTTCCACATCGATTGTCGGTTCTTCGAGCTATATGGCCGGCCCATTGCCACTTCAGCTTACTAATCTATCGGGCTATGTCAGTCACTCTGTTCTACTTCTATCCTCATTTCTAAGTTTATCACGGAGATAAACCCCGAATATAGTCCTCTCCATAGCTCGCTGAGCGATTCCTCATATGAGTAGCAGGGAAGGACCAAGTCTCAGATCCATAAGTTGTCACTGGCAATACGCAAAGATTGTATAATCTCGTTTACAAGTTTTGAGGTAACTGACGAGAAGATGTAACGTAATCGAAATTGGACTTACCTCCTCTCGTCGTCTCGTCAACAACTTCGAGTTTAGTGCTTCCAACAACTACCGTCATAGATGTGAGATGGACATAAAACATGATCTTTGTTTTGTCCATGTTCATCTTAAGACCTATCTGTTGGGATGCACTATTGAGGTCATTGAGCATAGCGCTTAGGTTCTTCAGCGATTCTGCCATAAGGACTATATCGTCGACAAACCCAAGGTGAGTGATGTACTTGCCACTGATGTTAAAACCGTATCCTCTCCCGTCCAGTAGCTTGAAAATGTCTTCCAATACAGCAGTGAAGAGTTTCGGGGATGTAACGTTATCCTGTCTTACACCTCTCTGCAGTTGGATAGGTTTCGTACTCTGGCTCTGTACTCGGATAACCATCGTAACCCTACTGTACAAACACTTGAGCACTTCGAAATACCGACAGTCAACTAGGCACCGCTGAAGGTACATCGCCCTAATTTTGACGATTTTTGAGTAGTTACTTGTACATCATGGAGACCAAAAAGTTCCTTTTTTTGGTAAATAAAATTATCGGACCTGAAAACTACCTTTAATGTAAATCTCTTCGGTTGCTGTGGCCTGTGAAAAAGGTTTGATCAAGAAATTGGAACATATATTTTAAGGACATGGTGATTAAAATGCAGTATTGAAAATGCATGAATCAAAAATTTATTTGCATGTGTGGAAGTGGCGCAAATTGTCCAATTTTGTTGATAAGTGTTGTAAAATTCGATTAACGCAAGTGCGCAAATAATTTAGTGGCCATGCTATGGTCAGATATTTACACAAATATTAACCACGGTTGGGTTACGAACCTATACTAACTAAACAGGAGTAGTTTTCTGATCACGGGATCGTTAAAAATGACAATATAAATTTATATAAATACTTTATTATATAGCCGTAAGAGCCGTCGTAGCTCAGGGGCTTAACTTTATTATAGAATTGTACTTCAGTTGCCAGCAGTACTTTACAGCTACTGTTAAGATACTCACTTTCCAGTTCGTAACAGACAACCAAGAAACACTATTCATTATTGATATTTCTATTGCTGTGGGTTTTAGGTGGTAAAGTATCTTTTTTTTCAATAGTAGCTCGTCAGGGCTGGACTGTTGATTTTTTGTCATTTACATGGTATAAACAAAATATATTAGTTCTTGTTGTCACGAAGTTGATGAAAAGGAATGCAAGTCGGTGGACACACGTAGTTCACGACTATGCTTTGCGCAGCAAGGTCAGAAAAGCCGCAGCAGTGATTAATAGGCTTCGGTACATAAGTATAGTGATAAAAAAGACTATTGTGTAAAGTCTAAGCTATTCTCCTTTGTTTTTATCAGCACTGTGGTGACCGTGTCAGAGAATTCATCACCCCATATCGTGTTTTAGATATTGTAAGAAGTGACTATGAGAAAAGACATAGTTGCGGCTACAACCATTTTCCGTAATATAGCAGATGTAAATACTCAGACGGAAAAGGCGGCAAAGCTGCGAAATGTCGAGTCTGTTGTAAAAACCATTCTGCTTGCCATGTCCGCCTCTGAGAGTGGACTGTTATTATAAGAAAAGGTGTTAAATTGCCTTGCGTTTCGACTACACATCAAACATGGAAGTTTTAACGTATATATACCACATTTTTTAAAATTCATTGTATTGCCCACTTTGCGAGTATTGTCCATAAGAATAATAAAAGTACTAAATTTGTCTTGGTTTAAAGGGCAGCCATCGATCATTACGATTATATTATAAATTAAAACTGAAACATCGCATAAGCTATCTTTATTATCATCGCGATTTCTGTCAGGATCAAGCTATTTACAATAAAATATGACAACAACTTACACTTTTTATAGAGTAAGTATAACGTGGACTGGTGCTTATACATATACTGAATACATCGATTGTTTTAAATAATTTTCTGTTCTAGTTATATTATTAAGTACATCAACTATTGTTAATTTCAGAAATAAAATAAATATAAATACTGTATGAACTAGTGTTAATGTTCAAACAGTCTTTTTTTTATAGGATAAGGGTGACAAACGAGCACACAGTCCACCTGATGGTAAGTGGTTGGTGTGGCCCATAGACATCTACATTTATCCTCAATTACGAGTCAAAATGCAGATGCGTTTTCTCACCCGTGAGGACTAAGATGGAATGCCTCGTTTTCAGTAAAAAGGGTCTCCGGTTCTTTACACTCACCATACGAAACACAGCAGCATTAAGCTGCTATTTTACGCTGGTATTCTGTGAGAGCGTGGTCCTTCCCCGGTCGAGCCAACCCATTCGTGTTACAACTATACCAGAAATATAGCTACAGCATGGTTCTACCACGTATAAACGTCTTCGTCTTATAGTTCATAAAATTATTATTACTTTTATTGATTTAGGTTTGGTTCGAAATCGGAGTGTTATAGGCGGTGGTAACGAGCTTACGCTGCAACGTATTGTCGCAGAGTCCGTAGAGCAGCAGGTACTCGGGCCACTTTTAGCCAAACGGGAAATTGTTACAGAAGTGATATATGGCAAGCCTTTTTACTACTCAATTACAGAATATTAGGTTTTTCCAAATTTTTAGTTTAAGTCCGGTGTCAGGAAATCATAAAGTCATGAAATCAGGATGAAATCAATAATTTTTAATTGAGATAGATCTATGGGTCACAGTATATATAGACCATAAAGTGGACTGTGTGATTGCAACAAACATTGTTAACTGTTGGTTTCCATCTAGTAAAAATTAATGACTTTATATTTACGCGATCACTACATATAGAATGAAACTAGTTACATTACGAAGTTTATCGCGTTTTATTAACTTTACTTTAATTCCCAACCGGACCCGAATCAGCAAAAACTAACTGAGGCTTATAAATAAGAGTTTGTGGAGTATTCGTGTAGATACTTAATCCAATACAGTTTTATTTCGATGAAACGCTCGTTTCATTTTAAACAGTTCGTTCTTCTAATTCACTACCTATTAGGGCCACGCTGCAGCTATATTATGGTTGCAGCATGAATGAGTCATCTGGACCGGGGAAGGACCACCCTCTTACAGTCTATCAGGTTAAAACAACAAAATCATGTTGCTTGATGAATGTAGAGAAATGGACATCCTTTACTTCGTAACGAGGCATTCTATCTTAGCCCTCAGGGGTGACAACGCAACCGTAATTTAATTCTTAGTCGAGGATAGATGTAAATGAGACTGCATCTTTGGTCTAGTGGTCTAAAGATCACGATTACGATCTTAAGATCCTGGGTCGAACCCAATTATTGGGTTTTTATTACAAGAAATTCCCGTTGATCCTGCGCCAGATATCTCTCCGACCATTTCGGATAACCTTCCCATTCTACTATGAGAGTAAAGTAATAGTGCTCTTGTGCTTGCTCATACACTCGGGAACTATAAGCCTTTCTTGCCCAGATGGCTAGTCTACGTTAAGACTGGCCACCGTGACCGCAATTCGGTTTGTAGGACATTATTATTAGATGTCTATGGGTCGCACCATCCACTTACCATCAGGTGCTCGCTTGGCACCCTTATTATATAAAAATATTTTTGCAATGTTACTAACAAAATGTAAAAATGTTAATGTTTTCTGAATTATATACTTACATTTTGAATAATACCTTAATAAAATGCATAACAATGGAATGCCTGTGTCATGATACCTTAATAAAATGCATAACAATGGAATAAATGTCATCGAGGCATATTTTGTTATTATATATGAAGCCTTGATGTGGCAAGATCAATAAATTTGACTTTAAGAAACCTTGTTGAAGTATGTCACATGCACATTTTTGCAACTGGTTTTCTTGAGATGTGCTGCATGATGCGCCTACAACTTACCTTTGCTGAATTTATATTACGTAATTTATAAAATTTGTATTACGTAACATTTGACACTGTGTGTTGTCAATTTTGTATTTTACATTAGAATACTACCCCATATCGTCCCGTGGATGTTGTAAGAGGCGACAGAGGGATACAAAACAGATCCGTGGCGGTGTCTTCCTTAAAACAACTATTTATTTAGTGATTTCTTATATTTACGCGAACACTACACATTTAAATGAAACTAATTTTACGGATTTTATCGCGTATATTAACTTATTTTACATTCCCGACGTTTCAAGCACTTTACAGCACCCATGGTCACGGGGGGGACTGAGGTGTATGACGTCCCAATGTCATAGTTAACCACGGCTACCTCCAGATTAAAAATTATTAATTTTTGTTCCGATCTACGCAGTATGAACTTACAGTATCATGAAGTCTTGCAGTTGTATGCTTGGGTTGGGATTTAATTTTATTAATTATGGGATCCCAAGCAGATGGTAGCACCCAGCCATCTTCTCTATTGAAATTAGGATGTTTTTTGATTTCAATAGCCTCGCGAATCATCCTTGGAAGGAATCGGTGTTCTTTAGCGAGGATTTGTGGTCTATCAAATCTAATGTAGTGACGGGGGCGATCCTGTACATGTTCACAGACTGCAGACTTCCCGGAGCGTCTATTCTTCACATCAGCTAGACTAGCAGACAAAATTTACACTTACAAATTCTTTTCCGCAATATATTCTTTAATTGAATAATAACTTTTTTTAATAAGCTTATCTTTAAAAGATCTTATGAATTTATTAATATTTGTTTCGGCTTTTAGATATTCTGGCAATTTATTATAAAGTTTTATTGACATCGAGTAAGGACCTGAACTGTGTAATTTTAATTTAGATTTTGTTTGCAAAAGTTTATTCTTATAACGAGGTATGTTTGTTAGAAAATAAAAAATGTGGTTGTCCACCTGCCCGCCAAGCGTGGCAACTATGTCAATTATCTCCCTTATGCTTTCATGATGTTTTGTTTAACCTACGTATTTTTTTGCTTTCGCCCTATTAAGGTTAAAATTTAAACTTACAGCCTATATACGTCCCACTGTTGGGCACAGGCCTCATTTCTGAGAGGGTTTAGGGCAAGGAAATGTTCGCCCCAATGCATGTTGGCGAACTTCACAGGACTTCGAATTATTTTTCTTATTTCTCAGACGTGCAGGTTTCCTCACAATGTTTTCCTTCACCACCGAGTACGTCACTTAAAATTTCAATTAACAATTTCATTGGTGAAATTGCACCAATGAATTTCGCCCTATACGTTTTTAATTTTAAGCACATGTCGACCGTAGAATAGATAAACATACGGTTCCTAAATAGTGGAGGTAAGATTTTACTACACTACACGTGTATCTTTTATAATAGAGAGGATTGTGTCATAGTCACACTTGGCAGGCGAATTTTGAACGCATTACCTAATGTTATATTTTTTAATTTTTATAAGCCAGTGCTTAACTACTACCCCACCTGATAGTAAGTAGTAAGATGGTAAATCGTAGTGGCTTAGCTTATTAAATACCTATTCACTCTTACATTGACGACAAATACATTCATACATTACATACATTGATCTTCTCCTTTGTTGTACGAATTACTACGAAGCTAACCTTTTAGTGAGAATGCGTAGAATGTTGCAAAAAACAAGGTTGGAGATATTGCTTCGTAAACGCTGCTAAAAATTTATCTATTATACAATACATTGACACATATACTGGAGATCGTTATTACTTCTAGATGAAATGCATTAAATAATAAAATAAATAAATATAAATACCGCTTACTATCAGTTAATATAGACATGAGGTGTTCCTGGAAATTTCAAATTTCCAGTCGAACCTTCGTCACCCAAAGGACGTGATCGGGCGATGAATTCTCTTGGGAAACCATCGCTCAGAGATCATATATATAGAAAAAAGGCCAATAGTAGGGGAGATCTTGAATATCATCATCGTCGGCAACATGTCATCACTGCTGGGCGTAAAATTGAAAGAATTTGTTGTAATTGCTGTGACTGATTAATAGATTGGCAGTCTCACTACCCGATCTTCGAGCATTACAAACGGTGCTTGCATTGCCGTGGAATAGTTATTCAACCATAAGAATTTACTAGTTACATTATTTTAGTTATATTTCAAAATATATACAGGAAATAATGGCATAGATTTTCCCCTTACAATTCCATCACAGGACACTTAGAATATCATCATCATTATTAAACTTCACAAGTCCACTGCTGAACAAAGGCCACCCCCAAGGAATGCCATAAAGCACGTTCCTAACTTTAATTTTAAATTAATCAATTTAAAATTCGTTTAGAGCTGGGGCGGCATCAGAGGCAGCTGAACTGAGTAAGTGGCGCAAATATGAGTCTCTGAGAGACGACTACATATTTGTGTCATTTGCTGTAGAAACTATCGGTCCGTGGAGTCCACGTGCGGTGAAGTTCCTAAAGGAACTCCATCCGCGGCTGGTCGTTGCTGCTGGTGATAAGAGGGCTGGTTCTTTTCTCGCTCAAGGGCTAAGTATAGCCATTCAGTGGGGAAACGCAGCCAGCGTTCATGGCACAATACCGCGGGGAGTAGGACTATATGATAATTAAGTTTCTAGTTTTAGTTTTTTTTTTTTTATTATTATTATAATCAATTAATATGTTTGAGTTTTGTTTCACATCACATGATCACATGTAATGCACAACTACAAGCGTTCATCATTTCTAAGTATTTTTTATATAATTATGTAAATTATTTCCATATTGGTCCTATGTTGGTATTGGACTTTTAGATTATGATAATGTGAGATGACAATATCATTTCAAAGTGATACATGTGAAGTCGATCATCACTCATTGGGGCAACATAATTATAAAAGAGAATATGAATAATTATTGCTGGTAAATGAAAAGTTTGAGGGAAGATTGAGGGAGGATGACGCCTGTATTACTAAACATTTTAAATAGCTTGGGCAGTACATTAAATTAGAGATCTAAGAACGGTTACGTGTTACGCGAGCCATGCTGCAGCTCTATATTATGGTTGTAGCACGAATTGGTAGGCTCGACTGGGGTGGGACACTACGCTCGCACAGAATACCAGAGTGAAATAGCAGATTTAGGCTGCTGTGTTTCGTATGGCGAGTGTTGAGAACCGGAAACCCTTTATATAAGAAACGATGCGTTCTCTCTTAATACACAGGTCAAACAGATGACGCCAAATCTGCATTTTCATTCTTAGAGAATATATGTAGATGTCTAAGCGCCACAGCATCCACTTAACATCAGGTAGACTGTATATTCGTTGCACTAAGTTAATAAAAAAAATTAGAAATGTTCCTAATTTGGCTACATGGGCTCAGCTCGAATGAGGTATCACTTAGTCATCCTACCGCAGCGTTATTCTATGACTGACCTGAAAGGAATCTGGATTCAATACCACCATAGATGTATGATTATGTGGGACTCAAAACAAAAAATAATGTGCCAATTGTGTTACCTGCCTAGCTTCTCGTAAAAGGCGACTAATCTGTCATTAAGTTTGTGATTGTGTAGGTAATGGACTAGCAACTTATTACTTACTTCAAAACCATTTAAACTCATATATTTTGTTTGGCTAACCATGATCTGAGTAGCTCGCTGTGCTTTGCACTCTCGCGTTGCAGGGATTACAGGTGTGGCACTATATATTTATAAATAATTGGTCATATATTGGCATCGTAAGAGAATCTACTACTCTAAATCACTCCGTGGGTGACGAAAAAAGAGAACAAAGGGAAATTAAATAGTAAATAGGCTGCAGTGTGTTCCTAATTTAAAAAAAACTGCAAAGGCCTATCCGCCTTCAAGCGTGGCAACTATGACAAATATCCCCTGTATGAGCTAAACTATGTGGTGGCCTATGTTCAGCAGTGGGTTTATAATAGGACGTAATAACTATAAATGAATGATGATGATAAGTTATCAACAATAATAACATTTTTAAAATAATATGAATTATCGGCTAGAAATATTTTTTAAAATTAATAAAAATTTTCTCGATCTAACCAAATTTTATAATTTTATTTCGTATTTTTTTAATAGTCAGTCCTTACATATAATCATAATTCTATAATTATGAAAACATTTACGTTAACAATTATTTAATGGAAAATGCTATAATTCAATCCAGTTTTTATTAATAGCTTCCACTTTCACATATATGTACTGTATCGATTCGGCCATAAAATTTAAGATGTAATTTTATCGACAGATCTTATTGTTTATGATTACATCGTATTTGTACTTAGCGAAGTCTGAAATTCCAGTGCGTTGTGCAGATGATATCTCAGTGAATCTTTACGGTAATATCTCAATGTGGGCCCAGCGCAAGCTATCCCTTTGTCAAAAGCCGACATAAAGTATATGCATCAGATCCGCAACAGTGTGTAATTGCTGCAAAAGTTTTTGTATAAATACCGGGTGTTAATCCAGACTGCATCATTTCTCTACCTGTAGTTCGCTTGTATCTTGCAAAACTTGTAACTGCAGAGTTGAGTCAACATGAATTACATCGTAAGTATTGAGCATTTTTGACAATTCCATTATACGCTACACGATTTCCAAAAAGCTATCAAAGCGTTGTTTTTCTAACCAACCAGCTAACTAACGTTTCAAGCAGAAAAGTTTCGCAAATAGCAGCTATACTTTAATGAATAACTTATTATTTTGAGGATAGACTTGAATAGTAAGATAATCTTTATATATAAAAATTACGTGTCACGTTGTTTGTCCGAACAACTGAACTGATTTCAATGAAATTTTGCACACTGTGTTCAGTTTGGTCCAACTTGAGAGATAGGATAGTTTTTATCCTGATAAGTGACCCTCAATTTTTTTTAATTGCTAATCTCAGGAGGTTTTTAGGAAAGCAAATTGTCGTCGGAAAGGGCATAACAACGTCTGCCTGGTCAGCTAGTAATAATATATAAATGTTTACTTGTAGAACTTAAACTTTAAAATACATTTCTTATTTTATGTTTTGACGAATTAAGCATATCTAACAAAATCAAAGTAAGAATTTTTCAGACATAAGTATTTAGGTAATATTTCTATATACCAGGTAGCATTAGCGGTTGTTGTCGGCGTGACGTCAGCAGATGTAGGCTTTCAGCCCTTCCAACCGCAGTCCGTATATCAGCAGCAGCAGCTTTACACCACAGAACCAATTCCCATTATAAGACAAGAGCACATCCAAAACCCGGATGGATCTTACAAATGGAGGTAAGTCTGTTTTCTTAATTTGTACTTCATATCTTGAAAATTTGAAGTAGTTTTAGTTATTACTTATCAATTACGTAAATATAATATGAAAACATCATGGTTCCTAATTTTGTTTGATTACTATTATTCAATATTATACATTAAGGCCTTAACAGTGGTTGAAATGCCTAAATCTAGGATATTTAAGTAAAAAAATCTCAATAACTGTTCATTTAATCCACAAAGAAAAAATACAAGGTAACAGAAGAAGATTTGGTAAACGTTTTTAATTTAACAAAATTGTATTTTTGTGAACCCCTTATTAGAAAAAAAATCCCCAAAGAGTACCTATCTTTGTCATATTTTGCAAAATTTCTCCAAAACGGCACAAGCTTTTTAAATAGTTCTTACACTAAAAAAAAGGTCTTAAAAATATTAATATTTTTAATTGAGAGTTTTATTTTTATTACCCGTTTTATAAGAGAATATATCATTTTTCCCTGAAATTGCGCATGCTCCGTCGCCATGTAAGCTCTGTCACAGTCCGTTTTCGGACATCGTCGAGGGTGGACCGCACGTCGGTGTTGGAGCGACTTCGTTCAAATATATATTAGTTTTTTAAAAGTTTATACTCAATTATAATTATTTTTATGACTAGAAATACTTAATTTAGTTAATATCTGTACACTGGTAACTGTAAATATTATTTTCTAAATAAATGAATTTTTAAAGTGCCCAAAGAAGAAGAAATTTTTGCGGCGACGTTGATTAGTGAAATTGAAAAATGCATTTTTATATAATTTAGATGTGGAACGACGAACATTCTCTCGTTACTTAGATTTCGATCGTTTTTAATACCTATGTAATTTTATTGTTGCATATTTTTATTAATTAGTTGATAATGAATTTTATAATTATGTATTACAATAAAACGCTGGTTGTATAAGTATGACTTTATAAAATATTATTGGGGAGAGAAATATAGATACAGATACTTACATTTAGGTACACTGTTATCAAATTAAATCAAACAATTTAAATAAATAAAAGAATGGTGCTTACCTAAGTATAAATAACTATATAAAGACATTCTTGGGTTTATGGTTTTTTTTTATGTTAGACAAACTCATCTAAAAAATGTAAAAATTTTAAATTGGAGAGGGGTTTCTCTACGTGATGAAGTTAGAAATGAAGGTATTTGCATTAGAAACAGAGTAACTGACATAGCTCAACGGAATATTACAGTGAAAAATAGGAAGAAAGGTCCTCGAGTGACAACCTCGTACAGGTAAGCGAATTAGTACTCAACCTTTATTCCTCTTCACGTATTCTCATACACTTTTCTTCACACATACACACACACACACACACACGCACACGCGCGCATGCACGCACGCGCGCACACACATACACACACACACACACACACAAATAGGTCGCAAATAATACTTACCTAGTACTATTAGGCAAGAGTGAATAGGTTTTTGTTAAGTCAGTGCAATTCACCATCTTAGACTACATAACCACTTACCGATGGGATTGTAGTTGCTTTACTACTTGCTGGGTAAAAATAGTAAAAAAAAATTACCCTGTGAAAGTTTGCATTTAGATATAATTTTTCTAACCAACCATAAAAATATGATGAGAATATGTATATAAGTATAAATGTTGCCTCACACGGAACAGTAATAATATAATATTATATCTTACATTATCTCTGAAATCCGAGGTATGTTCATATTAAGAGGCTGAATAGAGCCACATTGAAATACATGGGGATCGTTTTGTAATTTCACGTCATTATCGAAAAAAAATTGTACGTATTTTAGGTGGCGGTTTGCAAAACACGATTCCACAAAAATTAACTCAATAGAAAATAATTGCAAAGTTGCTTCTAAAAATACTTCAATTTTCAATGTCAATTTTTTTTTACGTGGTAGAGCCATGCTACAGCTATATTTATTAGGTATAGTTGTAGCACGAATGGGTCGGTTCGACCGGGGAAGGGCCACGCTCTCACGGAATAACATGTAAAATTACAGTTTAACCCTGCTGTGTTTCGTATGGTGAGTGTAGAGAACCGGAGAACCTTTTTACTGGAAACGAGGCATTACATCTTAGTCCTCACGGGTGACAACGCATCTACATTTTGATACGTAATCGAGAATAGATGTAGATGTGTATGGGCCGTAGCAACCACTTACCATCAGGTGGACTGTGAGCTCGTTTGTCACCCTTATTCTATTTAAAAAAAAACTTTCTAAGATTTCAGTAAAATAATGTTAAGCACTCGTACAATTATGTCTCATGTTAATAAAGCTATTGGGCTATTTTGATTTGTAATAAAGTGATTTTACTGCATAGGTTAAATAATTTATTTACCTTTCTATTTCAAGAACCGTTTTTCTGTCACTCCTATTGAATTTGACAGTGCTTGCTGAAATTTAGCATCTTTAGATGGATCAGAATCGCCCGATGATCCGGCTGTTAGATATTGCAAAAATAATCGAAAATATTTATTTTTACTTTCATTCCCAAGACTACCTTGTTTTATTTTATTACGGTCAAATAATATTTATTAGGTTATAAAGCAAGTATTTTTGTAAATGTTTTGTATGTAAATGTAAATGTTTTCATTATTTTGTTATTCTATTGTTTACAGTTATTATCACGTCTTAGCTTTACACCAAGAATTACATTAGAAATTCTTGATGGGATGCGATGTAACGCATACATTATTTTCATCAAGAACTATAATATATATATATATATATATATATATATATATATATATATATATATATATATATTTGTTTTTTTTACCAGTAGAATTTCAACAAAATCTTAAAAAAGTTCAATGAATTAACAAAAATGCTAATAATTATATAACTTCAAGTCAGTGTTTTACATTTAAAGATCAGTTATAAAGAGCCAATGTTGTTATTTTCATTTTGATTAATTTAATTCGAGAGAGACTAAAATAAATGTGAAAGGGCTTTTATCTGCAATAATAATTTTCATCAAAAATAACATAGACTTATAAAAGTCATATACACGGTCAATCATACTGAAGATTATCAATTGTACTACAAAATATTTAAAAGACTATTTCCAGTATAATGACCCGAATATCATCATTAATGTTTGACTGGCACACTTAAAAGTTTTATCACATGGCTAAATGATTGACTTTTATATATTTTTTTTAAAACGTTACCCCCACACTAGGATTTTCTCCTGTGTCGTGGAGGCAGTTTACAAACATAAATTGCACAAGGACAAACATCCAGACCCGGAACAATTATTTGTAGGCCATACAAATACTTGTTCCGTGCGGGATTCGAACCCGCGGCCCCCAGCGCAACAACTGATAATATTATGATAAGGTCATGCTTTTCTATAAAAAATTGCAAGAAATTTTAATTCCCGGCCCTATTGGTTTGTTTTACTTTTTACTTAATTAGTGAAAAACAAAATGGACTGATCTAAAAGTTTACTTTCTTGTGTAAAAAGTGCTATTTAGAATTTTATGCAAATGGTAATTAAAGTTTCTATGTAAATTAGCGTAACATAGCGGATATTATATTCAATGGTAGCGGCCATACGTATTGGCAAAGCCAGCATCATTTTCTGTACAGAAACCGGCAAAGTGTTGCTCAAGGCACTATAAACAAAGCAGCTGATAAAATGTTACACTCATAACTGTTAACAAAAACTGTTTTCGCAAATGGTATTATAGATAATAAAAACTATTCCGCCGTGTTAGGTGCAGGAGCTATTATTAGAAGGAGAAGAGGTAAAATTTTGTTTTAGAAATGCTCAATCAATATTGTTTTGTCTGCAATTGAGCATAAAATAAAAAATAACTTCAGCCAAAGAGCATAACTGGCATTATACTCAGGCCCATCAATTGGTATGGAAAAAAATAATTTTACCAGGTCTCAAAAAATCAATCACAATTCAAAAAACATAAATATTAAAATCAAAAAATGTATATATGTATGTCTATACATACATAATATAATGATTTATGGCTGCTTAGTAACTGACTGTGACTCACTATAACATCCTACAGTCACGCCGAAACTAAGAGGAGAGAATCACTGTAGAAAAGGTAATAATTTATTACGGAAATTTTGTGATAAAATTAAAAAAAAATATAAACTTGTCCAAGTTAATCTAACTTAGCCTAACTTATCCTTATGCGTACAAAAAAAAACAAATAATAAAATAGTGAGATGGCGTCAGTTTTTAAGAAGATATAAAAAAAATAAACAAAAAAATAAATTTCAATAAAGTTCAGTGTTTAATTGATTATATACCGCTGACACTTAATCACGCTTTTCGAAACCACGCCAGTTGTAAACAATACTTGTGTGAAAAGACAAAATTTCTTTTCAAATTTCCGCCGAGTTGTAAGTAGAAGGCCAAATAGGTCACGTGTCAATTTTAATTAAATATATTTTATATGAAGTGATCTGGACTACGTTTCATCAATTAACCAGTGGTAAAAATTAAAACAGGAATTTTACGATTGTGTTTACAAAAAACATTATTAGTTGAACCTTGCAGCTTGTTCATTATTTTTATTATAAATACCTATAAATGTATATATTATTAATAAATAGTTCCCATAATATATTGGATTATTTTTTATTTTGCCCTATCTGCAATGTTCTACGCTCTATAGAAAATGTGGCGTATGACATGACTGACAATCTTTCGAACGTTTTATCTAGGTACAAAGATGTTTTATGTTTTCGTCGCCTCCACATGATATTTTTGTCAGCATAAGGCACCCTTCTATATCTGAAACGAATATAAATATTGCTACAAAGTAAAGTAATAGGCTATACAAGTCCCTCTACTGGACACAGGACTCTTTTTTTATTTCTGAGAGGGGTTTAGGGCAAGGAAATGCCCGCCGTGCTTCCCCAATGCGTGTTGACGTAAATTGCAATTACAAATTTCATTCGTGCTGTCGGGGATCAAACCCGGGAAAATATTTACAGCGAACGCTTTGACCCAGATCTACTAATACGATACAAATAAATACGATTTAACATATATAATAAAAATTCTTACGTACTTGAAACTTGAACACTTGATAGCTCGTGATGCCTACCGGACAAAGCTACAGCAACACACCGTGCAATGTAATTGAAGATGCGTAACCGCGACATAATTCTCAGTGATGCGCAAGCATAACAGGCAGTATGTCACTTATATAATTGTCATCTCTGCAGTCTATTAATCTTTGCACTTTTATAAGTAATACAGAACGTAGTTGCTAGACGGTGTTGACATCGGCTAAAATCTCTGCGATCGCCGTTTCGTCAAGGTTATTCAGGCTAGTTAAAGCCTTAAATTCTATATAGAGACTAAGAATTTTGTATACTCATCATAGACAAACGGATGCTAGACATAGAATGCTTTTCTTAGTCGTTTTTATTTTATATAGATTTTTCATACGACGTTAATTGAATAAAGTAATGATGTTTTATGATTGTGTGTATAAGTCATAATTTTGAATAATATTATTATTGAATGCTTACTATTATTATGATATTATATATCATACAATAAAAATACATTTATTTACAATGATCTTTTTAATTATTTACACGTCACACACGTTTTCTACAACAGTAAATGTGAAAATAGAATAAGTTTATCAAACTTGCATACATGTTTATTATAATATTTTGAGTTTATTTTTATTATAACAATGAAAAAGCGCTCATAAGCGGACTGGTTAAGTGGCAATTTTTAGCTGCACGGAAACTTGACCGTACAAAGTTTCCGTCAAGTTGCCGTCTATATCGCGCAGCGCAGTGCAATGTTGCTTAGGCTTAATTTTGCTTCACAATTATGAACTCAATTGCTCAGCGATACGGTTGAAGCAACATTTCCAGAACTCTTCAAGCTGTACAGTAAAATTGCGGCAAAGTATCGCTCAGCAAGATGTCATTTTTTAACCTGTTTACGAGCCCTTTAATGAGATCAAAAAAATTTGTTATACAAGCGGTACACGAATGCATGTTCTTATGCACGTAATTATACATTTACGACACTATGCATTTCATTACAATATTTTTTTTATTTTAGTTATGAAACTGGCAATGGTATTACTGCGGAAGAGCTTGGCTATGTGAAAAACCTCGGAGTGCCTGAACAAGAGGTACAAACTGCTCAAGGACAGTACCAGTATACCGCACCAGATGGACAGGTAAATATAGCACACATAGTTTCTCGTGTCATTCTTTATATTTTCTGATGTTTTTGTATGGCGGTAAGACTAACGAACATGTTAAGAATACATCACATTAAAACTTTTTATGGATTAGAGGGATTTGTAAATTTTTAAAAAGGTAATTTTTTGTAGGTAATTATTAGATATAAAATTTACTAGTCACAATGATGTCCAGATTAAAGAATTATTAAATAACAAAACTGACTTGAGTTTACTCGCGTTTCGTCACTTTTTGTATAACAGTTCTAACCTAGTAATATGACACTAAGAAATTAGTTATTAAAATGCTTCTTCTGATTGTGGTCACCAGTAGCCTTAAGCGCTTCCTCGCTTCACTCGTCGCGTCGTCGCACCGTTTTAACTTTGCTAGTCTAGAGCAGTCATATTACATGTATATCGGTGCGACGACGTCGTTAAAAATTATTTATGTTTATTCAATAACTATCTTCACCTGACCAAAATCACTCTGTTTTATATCTTTTTTTTATAGAATAAGGGTTAAATTAAAAAATATATTATTCGATACCTAAGTATATTATATTAGTGGTATAAAAAATCTGTTACTTTAATTGACCATATATAAAAAGTTGGTTTAGTTTCTAAATTTAAGACAATGTAAATCGCATATCAAATAAATTTATACAAACAGTTTATTATTTTTGAGATTACATATACGCAGTAAGCGGTATTAAAATGATAACGTTCAAAATGTAGGTACTTCGAGTAAAAGTTACGCAGCCGTTTTGCCACTTTTATAATTAACGATAAACGAATAAATGAATTATCGAACATATAAATTCATTGTTCATCGGGCTATAAGAAGTGAGGTAACGGTGAAGGTAAAGCCGTATTTTAATTAAATAATCGTAACTGATACGGGGTTTATTGCATAAACATCAACGAATATTAGACGGGCTATGTCATAACATATCATCAAACGGGACTGTGGTTAAACACAAAAATGGCTTAAAGTGAGTAGAAAAAGGATGCGTTCTAAAATAAAACTGCGTCGAAATGCCAAAATTTATAGAATAACTACAGCGCTTTTTTTTGCAATGACACACATGCACAGTGCGCTAGCGATACGTTCGATTACCGCCGGCACACAATGAAATTGTAAATTGCAATTTTAAGTCGTGATTTACCAAGTGTGAAGGAAAACATCGACAAGAAACGCATATCTCAGGGATAAAATATTGCGAGGTCAAGTGAAAAAATCTATTTAGAAGAATTAATAAGAGCCAAATGAAAGAACGGTTCTAAAGCCTCGGAAATATTTCACGTCCCACGGGCTACATTAGCAGGTCGTGTTAACGGTACGCGAGGTGCAAAAATGTCGGAAAATCCACAGTTTTCCAAGCAACTAGAAGAACATCCTGCTACTTCGCTTCATGTGATGGAAAAAGCGGTTTATCCACTTACAAGAAAATAAATAAAATAATTAATTGCGGATTCTTTACATATAAATGGCATTGTCACCCCATTTAAAAATAAATCTATTCGTGATGATTGGTACAATGTTTCTACAAGAGAAACCATTTGGTACTGAATAAGCTTCAAATCGTCGAGGTTGTAAGGAAAAGTGATCCATTTACGGACTATTTATAAGTATAATTTTTACGCAGATGTTTTCCATTTCATATTTTAACAAATAATAAGACATATAAGAAAATGGACATTAAATATAAGTTAAACGACTGTTGATTTTAAAACCTTTTTTTTTATAGGATAGGGTGACAAACGTGCACACAGTCCACCTGATGGTAAGTGGTTGCTGTGGCCCATAGACATCTACATCTATCCTCGTTTGGGAAAAAATGAGGATGCGTTGTCACCCGTGAGGACTAAGATGGAATGCCTCTTTTCCAGTAAAAAGGGTCTCCGGTTCTCTACACTCACCATACGAAACACAGCAGTGTTAAGCTGCTATTTTACGCTGGTATTCTGTGAGAGCGTGGTCCTTCCCCGGTCGAGCCGACCCATTCGTGCTACAACTATACTACTAATATAGCTGCAGCATGGCTCTACCACGTACAAAACTTAATAATTATTTTAACTGCAAAGTGCTACTGTATCCACTATTGCCTTCCCGATATGCACGTAGAGCTAATAAAATTACAGGTCAATGTGAGGGATTCAATCTTATTTTTCAAGTCAGTGTTTGAAGCCGGGTGCAAGTGTTATATACATATACCTTTAGATTGACTGTTAGATGATTTGCAACTTTACTATTGTATAAAGTTAAGTAACAAAAAGCAACAAACAACAACTCCGAAACTTTTCCTAGTAATTCAAGAGCATAGAATATAATGGAGCGCCCTCCCGAATAGGTAATGAGAGGATATGTGAAGTCCGTCATTCCAAAGTCTAGAAATGCCAAAGCCAAATTCCTGGAAAAATAGTTATCAGATTTAAATAAATACTGTCATAATTTGGTCCGATTCTTTTACAATAGTGTCGATATTATTAAGAAAGATTTTTCGACTATTTTATAGAAAATAATTACGATAGCCCCGCTTTTTATATGATTTTTTATATGTTTAATATGACTGCCTTAAAAATATTCTGTCAGTTATATGATTATATTTTTTGTTACTAATGTGTTAACAGTAATAGTTGCATTAACCCCTGATATATTGCTAGTGTAACTTTTATCGAATTTCTAGCTTCATCCTAACTAATTTACCTGGAAATAAGTCTCAATTAACTGTTTTAATACGGTGTCAAATAATTGAGATCTTAATATATTAATTGGCAACAATATATTACTTTCAAATTTCAACTTTTTGTTTTAGCTACAATTACCTCAGATCAGCTTAAAGCTACAATGGAATGTGTGCTCGTTTGTCACCCTTATTTCTATAAAAAATAAAACCGTTGTCCGAACGTGTCTGACTGAAGCCAAAGTCAAAGGCTTAATTGTGCTTAAAACATTGTTTTAGTATTAGCAACAAGTGGAGATAATAATGCGAATTTCTGACTATTATTTTTAAGTGCTGAAATGATGACATACTCGTAACAAAAACTATTAAAATTGTTGCATTTGATTAATCGAAAAATAACAATAAAAGTATTGATAAATAATCAGCCTTCATGCACTAAATTCAATTGAATATTTACAAATAATAATTAAAAAATTATATTACAATCATAACATCATATTAGACAGTATAACAAGTCATTTCTATTCTTTTTAATAAGTACACAATAATTATTACAAAACGCAAAATGTTGCGTGCACTAACTTTTTGTATGAATTGTCTCCCTTGCCTTACTCACCGGTGTCTGGCGTTATTTTTAGCTATTTCAAAACACCAGTTTCGGTAATACCTTTAGCCGAATTTGGTCGGAGGCAGAATGCGCGGCTAAAGGTGTTTTTTGAGCTGAAGTTGGTCGAAGCCGAGGTTGAGGTTTGGGGTCGGACTTTAGTCATCCTTTTCTTTAATATTCCAAAAAATGTTGTCCACAGTAACTTCCAAATAAAAATTTAAGTTTTAAATAGTGTACTTATTATCTTATTTACCTATGTAAGTTCAACTATTGTTCTAAGTAAAGTATCGGGATTTATTTTGGTAAACATGGTATGGTAGGATTTATTTCAATAATTTACCCGGACTTACTATCAATAACCTATTATCTAACTTTAAAATTACGATTTTCAGATCATTCAGCTGAAATATGTTGCTGATGAAAATGGTTTCCAACCCCAAGGAGCTCATATTCCCACTCCACCGCCAATCCCACAGGATATTCAGAAAGCTCTAGACTATTTAGCTACATTACCATCTCAGAATCCCGAGAACGGGGTCCTTGGTCGCCAGTAAAATTATTTTAATTTGATAAAACATATACGTTAATAGTGCATTAATTATAATGATTCATTAGTTTTGTTATATTAAAAGAAGATAAATGTCAAATGTAGAAAACAAACAAAAAAATTATGTTATAAGTTTTGATACACTACAATTTTGTGTTATTTATTGAAATAAAGTATAGTACTAGTAACTAGTACTATTAGTAATCTAAAATAAATTGTTTTATTAAAACTTAGATCTTAATCATTAAAGTTAAACTTACCATGCAAAAAGTTAAAATAACTTGTAATTAAGTTATAAATAACATATTTGTGTAAACATGTATAGAAGTAATTTTTTATAGGATAGGCGGATAGGGTAACAAATGAGCACACAGTCCACCTGATGGTAAATGTTTGCTGTGACCCATAGACATCTACATCTATCCTCAATAAAGAATCAAAATGCAGATGCCTTGTAACTCATGAGGACTAAGATGGAATGCCTCTTTTCCAGTAAAAAGGGTCTCCGGTTCTCTACACTCACTATACGAAACACAGCAGTGTTAAGCTGCTATTTTACGTTGGTATCCTGTGAGAGCGTAGTCTTTCCCTGGTCGAGCCGACCCATTTGTGCTACAACTATACCTAGTCAGGTCATAAGTATTGTCACACAGTAAAAACTTTTCTTTTAGAATGCTGGCCACAAAAAAGTTTATTGAATTCGAATTTCGAATTGTTCATGAAAATAAAACTATATACTTTTTAGAATTTTACTCATTTTTAAATATGGAGTGGACGCTTGAAGAAGATCGTGTTGCAGTTATTGCGTTGTATCGTTGCGGTTACGCGCCAATTCAAATTTTTGACATACTAAAAAATTTGAATATAACCAAAAGATTCGTTTATCGTACCATCAAACGATACAATGAATACTCTAGTGTAGATGACAGGTCAAGAAGTGGTCGCCTTCGGTCTGTTAGGACTCCAGCAGTGATAAAAGCTGTGAAGGCGCGAATTCAAAGAAATCCCAAACGTAAGCAGAAACTGTTGGTCCTTCAGATGGGGTTAAGCAGAACCACGGTGAAAAGGGTGTTGAATGAAGACTTAGGGCTTCGTGCATATCGAAGAAAAACAGGACATCGTTTGAATGCTCGTCTAATGGACCTGAGACTGAAGAGATGCCGCGCTTTGTTGAAGCGGTACGTGTGAAAAAAATATCGGGAAATTCTTTTTTCGGATGAAAAAATTTTACCGTAGAAGAGAGCTACAACAAACAAAATGATAAGGTGTACGCACACAGTAGTGAAGAAGCGAGCAACCGTATTCCGCGTGTCCAACGTGGTCATTTTTCATCCTCGCTCATGGTATGGTTGGTACAGTCCTGACGAACCTTGTGGAACCTGTTTCTCATACCATGTTCAATAACAGACACTGGGTATTCCAACAAGATTCGGCGCCAGCTCATAGAGCGAAGAGCACACAAGACTGGCTGGCGGCGCGTGAAATCGACTTCATCCGGCACGAAGACTGGCCCTCCTCCAGTCCAGATTTGAATCCGTTAGATTACAAGATATGGCAACACTTGGAGGAAAAGGCGTGCTCAAAGCCTCATCCCAATTTGGAGTCAATCAAGACATCCTTGATTAAGGCAGCCGCCGATATTGACATGGACCTCGTTCGTGCTGCGATAGACGACTGGCCGCGCAGAATGAAGGCCTGTATTCAAAATCACGTAGGTCATTTTGAATAAACTTTAGTGTCATAAGAATCTACGTTTTGTTAAGTTCATTTTTGTATATAAATGGTTACATAATGAATAAACTTGTTTCAATAATTTTATATTAAACATTAGACAGAATTTATGACCTGACTAGGTACTACCAATATAGCTGCAGCATGACTCTAGCAGGTATAAAAATATTAATATTATGGAAGTAATGTTGTATGTAGCTTATTATTCTCTTCACACAACTATAATTTTGTTCTTATTAATGCTTACGCACTTGAGTGGCCTTCAGTTTAATAGATTAATGCCATGATGTAGTTTATCAAAATGTACTTTAAACGTTATTCGCATACAAATTGAATGTTTAATATAGTTTTTTTAAATGGTGGATTCATGATGATTTAATATACTGAGTTAAGCGGATATATTGTTGCGCGCTACCATTAATGCCTGGTACGTGGCAACACTAGATAACACTAGCGGCTTCTAGTGTCGAGTAGCAGAACTATGAGAGTCAAGATCCTTCTAGAAATTTCCATGGAAGAACTATGGACACCTAGTCAATCGGGACCGATATGTACTCGAACATTCTAGATGTTTCTACAGTAGAAAATTCTGGAACTATCTGTGACCGCGACCGGGGTGAGTGTTGAATTGGCGATACAAGTGAATACTTTGAAGCGATACAACTGGTAACTAAAGTGTCAATTTTGGTAATTCACTCGGCAGTCTTCAATTCTCTCGAACCCCAAGATCGTAACAATATTAAAGCTTTACGCGAGTAAGGTTAACCATCCCTGTTTTCTTTGGGTGTTAAATATTTAAATTTACAGACATTAATTGATTTACACTCATAATTATTTAATGATAGGTTTCTGTCTAATTAGACTAGTTTATCTACCTAGTATTGATAAATAATATTGTTATATAAAGGGTTTATAATTTTTATATAATCACATTTTGTACGGAATTTTGAAATATAACTTTAAAGTTATGTTTATAATACATATACATATATAGTAATAATAATGGATAAATGCTACAATTAATGTGTCTATGTAAGTGCATTTTGAACTATGCATTAAAACCACTGCGCTACATTAAAACTCGTGTCTATACTTAACATTTAAATTCCAGACATTTCACCTATTTGTCTTATCGATAAAACATAGTGGTATTTGCAAACATATGTAAAACAAAAAAAACAATTGTTTATCGTGACGTGTGGTGAGTACAATAAGAATTCTTCCCCAGGGTTTCGAAAAAGGCATTATAGGGAAATGCTCGAAAGGACTTGTAGATACTCATATGTCATGTACGTATGTATAACGACTACAGGAGCAGCATCGCGGGGCAAGTAAATGTTATGTCGAACTTGTAGCGATTGAAATCCCATGGTGTTAAACTTTCGACGCTTATTGGTATTGTGAAAGTTTAATACGTATATAAAAGTAACAGGTGATATGTTATCACCACTTTATCCTTTTTTATTAAAGAAATATCCAGTCAAAAAGTTTTGTTAAATATTAATACATACATTTTGATATCTTCTGACTTTGATTACACAGATTATATATGTTTACTGTCTGACACGGATTACTGTCAATTAATATTTAGAATCTATGGGCACAGGAAACATGCTGAGTGAGCGGCGATGTGGCATCTGTTGGTCTAAGCAGCTAATAATATCGCAGCGTGCAACCAGTGACCCCAGCTTACTCAATAACCGGTCGGTTCACTTTCCCCGCGCCGCGTGTCAAGGTCGCACGATCATCGCATCGCCATAAAATTCACATGTCCGATACCTTTTCCGTTAGCTTTTGACCACCAGACATATCAAGGTCAAAGCAGTACTTTATTTTTACAAAACAGAAATCGGCAAGTGGCGGCGATTCAAGCCCTTGAGTTTGTGTATTATTTAAATAGAAATAGTAGACTTGAAGGGTATAAAGCTTTGAATACTCTGAGGTATTTTACTTTAGTCTGTAGCGGCAATAACGTGTATACTATGGTCTTCTTCCGTGAAATTGGTTGAACTAGTTCATGGACGGTACTAGCATTATACTATTATGTGGTTTATGAGCCTCTTTGTCACTCTAACTATAAAAAAAAGTATATTGGATGATGTAGTATTGTAATAAATACGTAAGTTTTAATTGTAATAAGTAAGTTGACTAAAATTTTTGCTAAAATTGTATTCATAACCTTTATCTATCGTTAACCACTATTGTTGTATAGGTCTCCTTTCGCCAAGGAACATAAACTCTTAATTCGGTCACTCAGAGATGTAGACAGAGAATACAGACTTCCATTTGGTACGATTTTGACTCCTCTTATGCTTGTTTATCATACGTAGACATGCTCGTCGGTTATGGGTACCTACTTTTAATTTGGTACATCTTGAGTTCAATCAAGATGCAAAAAAATATATAAATTATGTTCACAGCATTTGTTGACAGCAATTTAAACATTTTCTCCAAATCTTGTTCGATTTATTTGCAATATCTCGGAAGAAATATTAAATATAATAATGAATAACATACTTTGAAAATGGCGCTTCAAAGAGCTTTTAATTGATGTAATGATATCAATAAAATACCTATAACAATATCGGGTCTTTGTTGAGCGGTGGACTTTGATAGACTGTAATGATGATAAATACATTTAAATTTACACAAGCTTAAAATCGAGGTTGTCTCTGAATTCCAGTCTTACTCAATTCTTATAATACATAATAAAAGGGACGTAGTGGATTACCTACGTCAAACTCATTCGATAAATCCATTATAGGAACACATATGTAACCCCATTGGTACTGGCACTAGTATTTGAATTAATATGCTCACTAACTTGAACATTTAAACCAGTTGACCGTTTAGTTTAAAAGTTATCAGTATTCTTAGATATTATAAATAAAATGAATGAATTAAAAACCGTTAAAACAGTCATGCGCCCTTGGTTAAAGGGGAAGAATATCAAATCTTTCTGAATCTCGCCCACATGCTATATAACTTGTATGCATTAATAGCAACTTTAGGTTATTTTTACGTAAGATTGCTATTAATCACATAAACACTTTCACTGTCCAGTTTCCAGACACAATATTAAGACAATAAGCAATGTTACTCAAATAAGTGGGTCACGGGACAGCGAACGTGTTTAAGGAAGAGGTTTTTAGTTCAAGTTAGCATTTACATACGCAAATGGGTCATTATTTACAAGACGTTAACAAAGAGTTTTATAATGTCAAATGACTTCATCACATTATCATACTCACACATCACTCAGTTACATACCACTCC